CTTTTTCCAAGTGGGTGGTTTGGCCTCAGCTGGAACCAGCTTTGAATGTTTTAGTCCTTAAGGCAGCTCTTGAGCAGCACACAATCCCCAGTTCTTGTTCACATTGGGCCTTTAGTGGTTGTTTGCAGTTGCCCACCCCTCAGTTGGGCTTCTTTTAGATGCCCCAATAGTATATGACTTAATTTGCCCCTTAATGGATGAGAGAGGAAATAGAATTTTTGTACTCGCCCCAAAAAGCTTTTTCTTAGAATTCACGAAGTCTATGTGTGACAGAAGCCAAGCTGCTTGCAACAAGCCACTGCAGGTGGAGAACAGCTCCACATTGCTAAAACTCCTTTTTTTCAACACCATCATCCTGGCACAGGGATATCAGCAAATGTGCTCTAAACATCAGAGGAAGGGTTATTTTATTTTTCAAGGTAAGTGCATGTGTGGTGTTGCTGACCACACAATCTTTGCACAATCAACATTAGATCTACTAAAACAGTCATATGAGGACCTATCTAGTCTATACAATCAATCTGCATCCAATCAAGAAAGCCCTTGCACTACATAGTTGTTGGTAGAGCTAAAGGAAGTTGTACAATCAGATTGTAAAGTGTGTGGTGAAATTATGGAAATTATGCTAGGGTCCCATTCATATTTGTGAAAAGGGCCAGAGCACAGAGTCTCCAAAATTTTTGTGAGAGTGCCTGTTCACACGACGTCCGTTTTCTGTGCTGACCTGATCCGTACGCTCCTGCACTCAAAATGCATCCCAATGTGTTTTATGGGCTACAGTTCTCACGTGCGCAGTCCGTTCAGCTTACAACAATGTCACATTTTGTACAGTCAGGAAACGCAAACGCGTCCAAAAATGCACTGCGCTGCAGCTAACATACTAACAGCCCCACTCCAGCAAAAAAAAAAAAAAACGGGAACGCATCAAAAACACGGACAAAATGCACTGCATCAATAGCACCGTGTCTGCAGATCCGGACCTGAACAGGCCCTGACTCATGAGATCAACTGTGTGTGTCAATACAATGATGGTCGCCCACAGCTGTTCGCATATAAATTACACATGCTGGGATTACCTGCAGACGACTGCAATAGGATGCAGACTGTTTGTCTCCAGGTGTGATCATCTGCAGGTAATTACAGCATTTGTGATCACATGTGAACAGCTGCAGGCAGAGGCAACCATCATTGCATTTTACAGCACTTGCCAACTGCAGCTGATCGTATGAGACTGTGGCAAGTGTGACTGGAGCCTAAAGTCCTTCAATAAGCAGATGTGAACACTTCCTCTGTGGACCCTTTATCTGTAGTGAAGGGGACATATTAACCACTTGAGGACCGGTCACTTTACATATTGGCCGGTCCACAACCCTACTGTTCTGAGAGGATGTACCTGTAAATCCTAATGGAACCCCCTGTGCGCCCAACACACACTTAAGCCACTGCTCCCACTATCATTAAACAGCAGAGAGCATTCGCTTCAGGCACAGAGCCGATCAGACTGGCTCGGTGCCTTGTGATCGCTGTGATTGGTTATTCCAGCAATGACATGGCAATGCCCTCCCCTTCCTCTTACAACAGTGGTAGGGGAGAATAAAGGAAGGAATGAATGATTCATTAGTTCCCATTTGAAAAAAGCTGCAGGAGCAGCAAAAAATACTACAGTATTCTTTTTTTATTTTAACGTTCACCCCCCCTAACCCCCCCAGTATATGTCAGTTCCATTCCATCTCTGCACTAAACTGCATATTAACCCCGTCATCTCCCTTATCCTTAACATCTGTACATGAATCCCTTCATCTCTGTCCTCCTACTATATGCCTCCCTGGATTGTTTATCTTCATGTGCGCATTTCTTCATTTCCATAAAATGGTGAGAAAAAATAAAATCACATTGGGGGTGTCTACTTTCCAAAAAGCCGTCATTTCGGCAGTTTTTGTACTGTCCTGACATTTGTATGTGCTATGTTTTATATTGGACTGTAAGGGAAACAGGTTTGTTGTTTAGTATTTTTGGTCTTTTTTTCCTTTATATAGTAAAAAAAAGTGAACCCACCAAAAGAAGCTTTTTCATGGCAATAAAAGTGACAAAATTAATTTGGGTAGTGTTGTGTGACAGTAAATTTCTATTAGGGATGTCCCGATGCCACTTTTTCAGGCCCAAGTACAAGTACATCCCCTCATGTACTTGCCGATAATTTCTATCAAACTTCACAGCACTGAAAACTGTCCTGGTAATAAAGGGAGTGTAATATGCCGCTCCTGAAGTGGTTAAAATTCACATTTGTCATTGATCAACAGGAGCACATATATCCATATCAAATTATTGTTTTGAGTATTTAAAAAATAAAATAAAAAAACACCCCCCTTTTTGTTGCCATGATTATAAAAAAAAACTGCTCCAAGCTCTCATATAAGGGACACATTAATACAGAAAGCCATTTCTTTAATCCACACAAGAACCTGAGTTTAACTTCATATCAGCCTCTTGCAGTCTCTGTACAGCAAACCTCAGGCTGAGGGAGGGAAAACCATAACCCAATCCAAAACTAAATAAAACATTTTTGGAATTACATGCAATTTTTCCACATCTATATCTAAAATGATAAAAGCATTGTTTTGCATATGGTGTAATGTACAGGGCCTCATTCACACGAGAAAAGGCCGGCACGTACAGCTCCATGCTGCGTGCACAGCTGTATCGGGCAGCTCCCGGGAAGGACAGGTGCTGTGTGTGATTAGTACGCAGCCCCTGTCCTTCTCTATGTGATGACGCGGCCATACGCTCACCCGCCCGTGCGGGTGTCAGTACTCGTACGCTGACAGGATGGATCCTGTCTGTGTCCGAGCCGGAACACCTGCACAGACCTGCACTTCGGGTAAGCGTATGGCCGTGTACTCCCATAGAGGACAGGGGCTGCGCACTAATCACACGCAGCACCTGTCTTTCCTGGGAGCTTTCCGATATGGCCATGCACTTAGCACGGAGCAGTACGCGCCGGCCTTTTCTCGTGTGAATGAGGCCTAAAACTGTAGACTTCAGACTTGGAGGGTTTATTGGCAATTTATGTATTTTGGTGTAATGCATTCTTATCAGCATGTATTAAGATTTCTACTTAGAATGGCCATATTCACACATAACATCTTACAATCTGTGCTTCTTACGTGACACTTACTGGGAAGTTTACCCTGTAATAGATTTTCTTTCTTTAGTTAGAATTTCATGACAACCTGATACTTTCCTGGCTAGTAATACTTTGCCAATTCTCTTATATATGCGTGTACTGATCTGCCGGTTCCGTAGCACATATTAACAGACTTGGATTACTGACATACATGAACCATGCAATTTGTTCTACATATTTAGGAGAATCACATTTTGTCCGGAAAGTAGCAGGTTCATGTCATCCACCTTCAACTGAGAGCAAATTGACTTTAATGTCTTTGTTCTGCTACCAACGTTGTCTGACAGACGGCCGCTAGAGGGAGCATGCACACTTCTGAATATTAAACCTGTTAAGATTACAAAGTTATGATAAGTACGCTCTAATTCCAATATGGCTTCCCCTTTAGAGCTTGGGGCCCAATTCTGAAATGCGGTGTTATAGGTCAGGTATTACACGTTATAATGTTCCAGCCCCTTGTAAGTGTAGACTAACGAATGACAGAACCAATTTACGCTTTGCCTGTGGTGTAGCTTGCTTTATTGTTTATGTCCACAAATATTTCCAAAAAAATTACAAAATACTCAAAATGGAGAAAACACAGAATTCACGAATTTCTGGGTTTCTACCCCCATGGCAAACTACTCCTATATACATTAAAATCTTCAAGATATATATATAGAAATGGAGCAGTCTGGATGTACATTCTGCTAAATGGCGCCATGAAACAAGTAGCTTTACAGTTTCTTACACACTGAACGAGGTACGTCCGAAAAATTACAAAAATAGGAAAGAACGAAACAAAGTGGAGTGGTAAAAAGTAACAAAAATAACTGAAAGACAACAGTCAACTTTCTGAAACCGTTTTTTTTCTCTCCTTTTTTTTTCCTGCCAGTGCGGCGGGAGACCGCGTATCACCAGGCCTTATGGCAGTAAAAATTCTAGCCCTTCAGTGCTGGGGAGAGGCCTAGTGCACAACTTACTGCAGGGGGTCTCCTCAACGCCGAACAGGCTACCCACAAAACAGCCTGCAAGGACAAAAGTCAAGCACCCGGACACTTGTGGATATGGAAAGGGAAGAGGTGGAATCCGTACAAATATAAAGGGTACAGCACATTGAAATCTGCAGATATATTCCTAACTGTAGTGTAAAAATGCGATTGCAACTAGGGGAGTTTCAATGCTAATGGCATACGGCCTACTTCAGGGACATCTATCTTTGGCTGGCCAGCTGCTGGTTAAACTGTACTCCCATGATGCTCTGAATGGGAATGAAAGATGGGCTTGGGCACTGCATGGAGCAAGAAATGATCACACCTTTCTGCTGGTTACATTTTGACACTTTTCTCAGTGCTAAATAAACCTCAAATGCTTCACATAATTTTCCATGTAATGTCCTAAATGCACTTAGCACTGACTTGTGCCCACTAGACAGAGAAACCTCTCCCTGGAGGGTCCATATGTAACCTGGGACCAGTGAAATCTAAAGGGGTGGATGGGAGCTGTAGACAAACGAGGTGTGCTTGGGCCGTAACTGGAAGTAGGTGCAAGTCCCTGGTCCTGATCGCCTGCACAAATAAGCTGTATGTGCAAATCAGGATGCTCACTTTTTCTGATCCTTACACCACCCACTGAGTTGAAAAGACAGTGTGATAAAAGTGAAGGGGTGCTTGACTGTAACCTTTGCACTTTGTGATCTGGCGCCGCCCTGAGATGCTGGTCGCCAAAACATAACAGTCGATGCGGCAGGGGTAGTGTCCTGGTTCGGGAAATGGGTTCAGCTAGGAGATTTTGTGAAAGAGAATTCTAAGCATCTGGACAACTGCTTTACAACAGATATTTATTCTTTTTTCATTAACCAAGAATCACGCAGCCAAGAGCCCCGTCTGTTAAAACATCACATGTTGGAGAAGCAGTTACTAAATGTGCCTCAATACAGCTCACCCGCATGCCTAGAGTCCTCATACCATGACACAGGCCTGCCGCTGTGGGGGAAAGGGGTGGCAGAGGGTACATATAGATTAAACATACAAACAAAACAAAAAACCATGAATTTAAAAAATAAGAGCCCAGGTTAAATAGAATCTGTACAAATAAAACCCTTGGCATTATGTATAGCAGGACCCAAAAACAGTAAAATATAGGAGGCTTTCCTTATAAATTAAATAATAAAAGTTCTAACCCTGCAGAAACTTTAATGCTATAAAGTGAAGATACGCACAAGCCTGTGTGCGTTTTGCCTCTACAACTTAAAACGCTGTAGCCCCTATCTACAAGTGAGACGCAAACTTAGGATAAAAACAGAAGAAAAAAAAGGAGGGACCCCCAACTCTCCAGAGATACCCAAAAATCTGGAGTGGATTCAACACAGAGTAAAATCAGATTCTTCCTCTATAACGGACCATTAAGAATGTAGATTATATAGGCTCAGACAAGAGATGTGGAGTAAGCAAAAAGCCAGAACAAGATGGTTTACGAAGTTAAAAAAACTTAAACATGGTGTTATTTGGGCTTTACCACTGCCTCATTGGTAAAGCTTGAGTACCTCTGTGGGTATATTTAAATTCTTAACCCCTTTGCTGCCATAGGCTTAATGTCACAGGATCCAGTGGCAGTCAAGAGGTTAATGGTAATTCACAGGTAGTAACTGCACTGCAGGGACAGTAAAAGAAAAACGGTGTGTCTGCTAAAATCCCCCCTTCAGTCCGTGCTTTTAATGTATTTACAGGGTATGGGCAGACTGGGGCAACTCTGTACAATGAAGATGGTCTCCTGCTGATGTCATAACAGAAAGAATGGATCTGTAATGCAGCACGGGAGACCCAAGAATGCTGGCAGAGTATATTTTCATTTTAGCAAGTCTCTGGCTTTGTGTGCACACAGTGAATGGATGTATCGGGGGTAGCACCTCCAAAAGCACAAGCTGTCAAGTGTCCAGTGCTGTCCCCACCTTTCCCTCCACACCTGCTCCCCTCCCGAGGCTGGGGGAAGAATGTGCCATGCAGGGGGGCTGCCAGTGTGGCTCTGAAGAGTCTTCTTTACAGATGAAAAAGGACAGTTTATGACATGTCTTTAAATACAGAAGGAATCTCGCAGCCTCTGGGGACCCGTCATGTAGAGCCCGACTCTCCTAAGGGAGCTGGAAGGGAGGGAGAGGTCCAAAGTCATCCCTTCGTTACAATTGTTTGTCCCCTTCTTTTTTCAGACGACTGAAAAGACAGGAAAGAAGAAAAAAAAATGACAGGCTGTAATTGGTTATGAAAGGCAAGCTAATGAATGGCATTCTAGACCTGAAACTCTTCTAGAACAAAGACATAGATTGAGGCTTGGCTTCGACATGCAGAGGTTCAACAATTACGTACAATAACAGGTCTTCATCAAGCCTGACAGCCCAGATTTGCTAAACTGGCGTAATGCTAAATTGTCATGTTGGATAACCCTCTGTACTGCCCGGAGCACACATGCCTATGAGGATTACTCCGAGGGATAATTATCCTCCTCCTGACACACTGCTAGAAGGAACCGCACTATATTAAAACAATTAGAAGTAGCTTTTTATTATAAATAGAGAACTCCAAAATAGTAAATGGTCTTTTCTTCTACTATATTCATACGCAAAGGATTATAAAGAACCATAAAGGTAAAGTAACTTGGTCAGGCAGGAGAAGGGAACAATCTAGGATTTGGATCATGAAAAAGCTATCACTCAAACTGCAGCTGGACATTGAGAGAGAGAAGAGAGGAGTTTTATTAACGCCACAGTGTACCAAGAGCTGGAGCTTTAATTGTAGCACTGAGGAGAAACATCTATATCTAACACATCTCAAGTGTTTCACATATAGATATCCATTACAGGAAATACTACGGGGGAATCTATCAAAACTGGAGACAGACAATTCTGGAGAAGATTTGCACAGCAACCAATCAGCTTCTTTGTCTCATTTTCAAATCTTACCTGAGCAAACTAAAGAGAGAAGCTGATTGGTTGCCATGCACAGCTGCTCCGGATTCTGTCTGCTCCAGTTTTAATGAATTCCCCCCAATGTGTTTCTTAGAAGACAAATATTACAATTGATTACAACTGTGAAAGACATCAACATTGGGCAGCACTTTACTAACCCTCCAGTATCTCATCGGTAAACCTCTATATGGATATGTTTATGGTGGAGAAAAATAACCTGATAGGATTTTATGGAGTTATAAGTGTATAATATTAAAAGCTCACCTTTTTGTACACAATGGTTTCAATGAAATGGTATGAAGGGGTGGTAGCTTCTGATGAAATATGAATTTGAATTACCTTACTGATTAGATTCATCTGAGTTCATTTCCCTGAATGGCCATTCTGTAAATAAACATTTGCACTCCCAAATCTGGTTCCCTGATATTTTTGGAGTTTAAATTCTAATTGTACCCTACAAATCTGTAACCCTGGAAAATGTCTCAGGCAGCATATCATTTTAACCATTTTATAAACTCTTGTGATAGATCGTTGCTTAGGAAGTTGGAGGCACCAAACCACCTGCTTCTCCTGAAGTAGTTTCGATAAATAACATTTATTTCCATCATTTTTCTAGCTGCTCTACAACACTGACTGCATTTCATGTGACAGAATCTGTTTAATAACCAAGATAGAATATACAGCCACCAGCTCACCTGTAGTAATCCTCCTGGCTGGGTAAATGCCCACCATGCATGTGAGGGTGACCATGTAACCACTGCTGTTCCATCGCCAACCTCTGCAGTTCCGCTGACTGGGCGTGCATAGCTTGGAGCTGGTGAGCAGCAGACATTTGTGGCGGGAGATCCCGAGGGTAGTGAGCACCTGAGTGAAATACCGCACAAGAAAACAAAAAAACACCATAAAAGAAATGCAAAGATCAACAAAATCTCGTTTCAGCCACAAGTTTTATGTGGTATAAATAGCACAGGGGATAACGAATCTTTCTGATGCCAGAACTAGACAGCAATGCTGATATTGGGACACTTGCTAATGGGGGCTAGATCATAGGAAAACCTTGTAGGCAATTTGTACTTGTTACATAACCAGGTTACAGATATAGATCATAGCTTGTAAGACTATATTACTATTATACAGGATTTATATAGCACTATCAGTTTGCGCAGTGCTTTTTATGCAGGTTGATGCAGCAAGACCACCCATCTTGCCATTGTGTGATTATTATTATTTTTTTTTTACACTGAATATTTTTCAGCAAAGTCAACTTGACAGCAGAGCGCAGTATTTCCTCACCCAGATTCATTCCTACTATATAGAGGATTCACTTTGATTTAATGATTGCATTTCACCCTACATCTTATCTCACTGATCATTTGTTTGGCATATTTTTTTAATCATGCAACGGACCATATGCCTGCGAAATCCTTAACTGTGCAAGTGGACCTAGCAGAATTGATTCTGTTTTGAAGGCAAGAGGTGGGCCCAACAAAAATTGATTTTATTTAGTTCTGCCTATGCATTTGAAGGTCATCAACTGATAAGTATTCATTGCATTGTTTCCAAAACTGATTTAATTTCTTGGTAGACCCTGGAGTGTTAAACCACCTCAAAAGCTTTTTCTCTCTCTCGCTGAAACACTTGTGGTGGAATCTCTGAGCTTCAGTTGTTGGATCAGCATACATTCCACAGCCATTACAAGGGGTCCTACTCTGCCTATTAAATGGTTATATTATGTAAAACACAACAGGAACAGTGGTAACACCCAAAACTCTAAGATGGATAGGAATTAAACCAGGAACTAGTGACTCAGCCAACCAGACTCAATCTAAAATTCAATATGCATTTTCGGTGGATTTGCCTTCTAATTGAAGCTGGTAATCAATCTGTATGCCCCCAGTATCCAGACATTCCAACATCTGTCTCCCAGTCATAGCAATTACTAAGCTAGGTATCTCATGGATACTACTGCATTCTCTGTAATATATATGACTCTAGTAGCAATTTGTGATGGCTTCATACTGGCTACAGGAGGTTGGCCAACAACAAACCATTCAGTGATCCAACCAAAACTATATCAATATTGTGTGTGCAGTTAGTCTCAGAGATAAATATACTCCAGTTTTTCATATTTACTGGACAAGAACCATCTAAGAACAGAAGAGGCTTACAGTTCAGTTTATTAGTTATGAACTACTCAAAAGAAAATGCCAAATCTACATAGCACTGAGTATGCATAGTACACAGTTCATTGTCTCCTTTTTTTCCCCACTTAATCTTACAATCGGAAATGGAAATCAGAATTTGGCATGTTCACACACCCTATAAAATCACCAAGGAAATATATGTTTTGGTACTATATGATCCAAAATATATATACTTACCAAAAACAGGGTGCCGTAGCATTTCATGTTCATGAGGTGAATGTAGCAAGGGGTTGGGTATGGAACCAGGAGGGTATGGGAAGCGTGCCAGGTGAGGTCCAGCTGCCAGTGGGTCAACCAGTGGATGCACAGGACCTGCTGAACCTAAAACAGAACAACATGGGCTCATTCAGATTCTACAGATAATCACAGGAACACAGCACATCATATTCCAGAGAGATCAGGACTGGGAGATTGGGTTTTTGCGAGCTCAGGAAAGGATCTGCCCTCACTAATCATTTATTACCAGCAGAATTATTAGGCCAAGAACATGCAGACAATTCTAGTTACTGTTTTAGCTGCCCCAAGATTCATTTCCCGGTCTAAACCAAAACAAAAAAACAAACGTACCTTGAGTATAATGGAAATGCAGCGCCGTAAAAGTCAGCTATATACACTTGTGCCCTGACTGGTGTCCATAATTCCACATTTCCAATTTATATCCTGCACCATATAAGTGGACGTAGGATGGAGCACTGCTAATGTTACAAACTATCCACAAGAGGAATCAGCCACCAAATTACTTGCGTGAACAAATACAATAATGTGCTGCTGGGGCAATTTACAGAGAAACTTCTAAATCTCTTTAGGAAATCATGACAACTAAAATATTCTCAAACACACAGATGGTTTTTAACAGCATTTTAAGGGATATGTGCGATTGCCATTAGAGCTGCAGCTAACGATTATTTTCAAAATAGATTAGTCGATTATTAAGGTCGATTAAATCGGATAAAAAAATACATTTTAAAAAATGGCTCCAGTGATGGGACTACTAGTTTGTATTGAGATTATAGTCCATCACAGGAGCAAACTTGGAGCAGTGGAAGTAAAAAAGAAAAAAAGTGTGGTGTGCAATATAGTAAAATAGAAAGTGTAAAATTATACAGCAATGAATGCAGAATGGCACCGGCTATAGAGGACTACAAATCCCAGCAATAATACAGTATACAGCACAATGCAGAATACCACCAGCTAGAGGACTACAAAACCCAGCAATAGTACATTATACAGCACAATGCAGTATAGAGGACTACAAAAAAACCCAGCAATAGTACATTATAGCTGGCGGCATTCTGCATTGCGCTGTACAATGTACTATTGCTGGGTTTTGTAGTCCTCTATAGCTAGTGGTATTCTGCATTGCACCACTGTATAATGTATTATTGCTGGGATTTGTTGTACTCCTCTATAGCTGGTGGAATTCCGCATTACGCAGTATAATGTATTATTGCTGGGATTTGTTGTATTCCTCTACAGCTGGCGGTATTCTGCATTGCACTGTATAAATAATAATCTGACCACTTAGTGTATAGTGGTACTGGAGGCCTAATTGGAAAGAAAAGTCCAAACTGCCACAGCTAACCCAGTGTTGGGACAGATTTCTCTGCCCATGTCCAGAAAAGATTGAAAGATGTGGCAAGAGATCAAACCCTGCCCATCTTCCCTTAGTTGGAAAAATCTTTGGTTGGAGTTCTTCATTAAATACAAATCTATTGATAAAAGATAAGGCTGATCATTCATACATCGAGAAGATCCCTCAGTTCCAAGTTTATTGTACACATGAGCCCGTACTGAAGAGTTTGTAACTGCTCTGCTCCGGTACAAAACTGGGTTTTCTGAAGGCAGATTAGAGCAGCACAACGAAGATCTGATGACCAACTCAGTCTGAGTACCTTAAAAACTTGAGCTGCCAATTCACCAAAAGGAGCAGGATGGAAAATGTTTCTCGAACCAACTAAATTCTAACAGTGAATGTGGTTTTTATTCAGGAAACTCCATTAATTCCAAAATCGAATGGTAATCTGTGGTAAAGAAAGATCTTTGTACGAACATTCGATCGGAAATCTACTAGTGCATGGCCAGCTTTAAACACACAAGCACTTCTCAGTTCCTATAGAGGAGAGTTGTGACAAGCAAAGCATTCATTTAGCAGAATATGACTGGAGACCAGAACAAGCATAAAATAAGAATTCTGGAAAAATACTATATTGTGCAGCTAATACTCGTAATGATTGTATTCTGTATTTTTCTTTATGCCTTTATATTTTGCCCAACAGTTACACGCAGGTCAAGCTGTCTAGCAAAAGTGACAGTGACATGGGTTGGGACAAACTATAAATTTGACAAGAGTGCTTACAAAGATTACATTTTATGACCATGTTTTAATTTTTGGCAAGCTGCTGCTCTGCTCAATCACCCCTGGAAGTATTCTTGATTGTCACAGTTACATTTGCCGGATAGCTTGATCTGCATGCAAAATGTAAAGAAAAAGCACAAACAAGTATTTGTGGAATAGAAAAAAAAACCCCATATACTATAATCACATGTAATAACCCCATATAGCAATTAGAGCACCACATGTTTCACCAGTGGGCCCTTTAAGATGTCTATCCCTCACTGCAAGACTTGGCCATGGTATCTACACTACGAACACACACAAGACTAATCTAAAGGGAACTGAAGGTGGAAATCAGATTGACCAAGCGGGTTGTGTTATAAAAGGAAGTCACGTTCTGGCGCTGTTACCAATGATAGATTTATTGTTTTTTAGCCTTATAAGTTATCCCCAGTGAGGTCTGTGAATCTCCATCAACGCTATATTTCTATACATAAAATTAGGATAGAGAAGTGACAAGAGGATGGAAAATCGGAGTTCATTTCTCCTAAAAGCAAACTGAAGGAATGATGACAGCTATTTTAGGTGCCAGTTTGGCAAAGAGGATTTAATATCAAAAAGCACTCAAAGAGGTAGAGGAATACAAATCCAAAAATATCTGCTGTTATGTTACCATAACTTCTCCCCAGCACAGGAAGAGCACAGATATACAGCACTTTAAGGGCATACAGACAAACTGCTCTGGTTGACTAAAGCACCATGACTTTGTCCCATCTGGAGGGTAAAATATAGAATCTGGCTGATTACTGGGGGCAACAAGAACCATTCCCTCTTTTAATCACTTTGAGATTAAAAAAAAGGCCCACATCAGTAGGATGAACAACCATCTACCCAGCAAACAAATTCATTGTGTAAAATACCAAAAGAAAAAACAAATTGTTTCCAATCTATGTGACTGAATAAAGATCTCCGAGCCCTACAATAGAACTTGAACCCTAATACCAGAGACCTTGATGAGACCACCAGACTGCAGGACACCCAAAACATTACAAAATATCTAATCTTTGGAAAGGGTTAACTGCAGAATGCCGGGCCCATTGGGTTCCTACAGTTAGGCCACATTCACACCTGAAATTCCTCCTTGAGACTCATGTGATCTGCTGCAGGTGAGAGGCGCTGTACAATCCAATGACAGCTGCCACCACCCGCAGATGTTCATAAGTAATGGCACAGCCTGCAAACGATTACAAACAGTTTGCGTCCAGGTGCGGTCATCTGCAGATCATGGAAGGCTGTGTGAATTCTTGTGACCTGGAAGAGGTGGCAGCTGTCATAGGATTATATAGAGCCTCTCGCCCGCACCGCAATTTCTAAGACTCATGTGATGCGTCTTATTCACCTATGTGAATGGGGCCTAAGACTGGAAAAAGTGCAGTAACTCAGAGTAACCAGATTTCACTTTTACTAAGGATCAGACTCATTTTGATAGGTCGCGGTTGGTTTCTACACTATACACATCCTTAATAAGCAAGCATTTAGCATGTAGGTTAAAACAATGGCTTGTGTACATGAGCCCTTAAAAAGATCCCAGGCCTATTTCTTACAGGTGAGAAGTGTTACTTTATGAGACACACCACCAATGCACACAATTCTAAACCTGCAAACAAATCAATACATGACTAACGATAAACAGCAGCCAGATCCAGTTATCTGCACTGTGCATATTATGTTATAACACCTCTGGCAACTATTCCAAGCAATGCCAGCAAATCTGCACTAATAAAGCATTATTCGTATTAGCCAGGGCAGATCCGACAATCCTGAACTTAAATCCGGTAACTCCATTGGAGGGAAGGGCGGCGGTCGTCTTTACCGTTTATGAAATAACCATTCAGGTATTATTGCACATTAGTCATGAGTAGGAAATTTCCACATCCATATGCCTTAACTTCATGTTCTTTTAGGCCTTGTGCACATAGGCGTCAAAATACATGCATCCAGATGCGTTTGGAGCTTTTTTTAAAGCCATCTTGAAACATGTAATGCTTTGATATGGCTGAATGCACACTAGACATTTATCAGTGTCTAGGAGTGTTCAGTCTAGCTGCGTTTATATAAACAAGAAATGTGTGTCCAGGGAGCGTATAGCCCTGTTTTACTACTATAATCGTGCAAGTACAAGAACAATTCCCAGATCAATTTCTCCTGGAGGCCCAGGTACATGAAGATTAAAAATGAACAAAGTATACAAAGAGTATTGTTCTACATCTTTGGGCAAAGGGAACCACTCTGTAAGATGGAAGGAAGCTTAACTACACACTGTGGGGGAAAAGGTGGTATTTATAATCGTGGCCTCACCATAACTTATTCCAGCATATTAAGGAACAGTACCCATACATCAACAGAAGAATTTGCTGGACATACAAGATTTGGACCAATTCTGATAACTAGTTCAGTACACATGTGCAAAGACTAAACTAGAGCATGATCAAATGGCAAACTAACCGGATTAGTTTGAAACGTTCAGTTTTTTAAATACACACCAGAACAGAACACTTGTTTCAGGTACTTGACTTGCAAGGTTTTGAAGCAAGGATAAGGATGACAACCCTGAATGCTGGACTTCTGAATTGTCAGCTATCATAGACTCTATTACTTTTAAAAGTTGAAGTCCTGCATAAAGTGAACCTGAATTAGGAACAGCGAAGATGTTTTTTCTTATAGAGAACATTTGAATTGTTAACCCTGCCTGACAGGTTCCTGAAAAATGTACCGTTTGTCTCTTTTTCCTCCTGAAAAAAAGCAGCTAACTTTCTTTGCTTAGGCACTCCTGTTCCTTGAGCCTCATATCTCCATATCTGCAGTGTGAGATCATCTAAAGGTACCGCTGCCTCTGACAGCTAGTCTTACAAGATTTGGTGAAGTCACCACAGCGCTGCTCCCTGGACATAAAGGTGTACCCGAGGACCTGCAGTGTAAGGATCTCCCTCTTCATTCATTCTACTACTTCTTGAATATTCCCCCACCTGTCAGCTTTTCATCATGGCAGCAAAGTCATGCTCCTCTACCAATAGGACTACTTCTGTACAAATACCCAGTGCAGAACAAGACATGGTATATAGGTAATGGAAAAGGATCTGCTGCAGAGAGCCTACAGGCAATCCTGGTGACTAGTCATTTGCCCTGTACTTGTCTTTTTTAGGCACATCTACCAAAGTTCAGATTAAAAGATCCATATTTTATTGGCTAGAAAAGCCTTTTATGTGCTTCAGTCCCACTTTGTCACGGGGCTTAACTTTCCCTACCTTCATGCCTAAACTCCATCAGCCTGGCCACTGATATTTCACTGAACTGTATAATGGTTATTTGGAGGGCTGAGGGAGGCCAGGCCTTGGTAACAAAGTAAAACTAAATCACAGAAGAACTACAGGTAAGATGAGGCTTTTCGTTGTGTTTGTGGGTAACACATTTTTGGAAGTTTGTTCTCAGTAAAATGTCACTGAACCTTTCATTACAGAATACTTTATATATTATATACTACCGAGTATAGGCCACCTACTTAAAGGATGCATGTTTTTTCCACCCATGTATTATTTTTTACCCTTGCCTGCATGAAAAACAAGACCTGTCCCCAAATCTGGAGTTACCGGATAAACTAAAACTTAAAATATCGACATAAAAACCCAATACAGCTAAATATATGCAATAATTCTATGAATAAAATCTGGGGCTCGCTTTTCTTTGGAGGATTATCCCGGTCTCCCGAGTCCTTCTCTCTCCTTTTTAAAATGGTTGCATTTATTTACCAGGAAAGTGGACTGGAACACATGTCCCGTTTTCAGCCATGCCCGGCCAAGACTTAGAGTTACAGCAGCAGTCTATTGAAAACACATAACATCGTAAGATGCCTCCCGTCTTCACAACATCACATAGATGTATTACAAATGGCTTTTAGATGCTTCCAAAATAACAGGCTGATCTGGCCAGGCAGTGAGCTGAGCCACCCTAGGTTTGATCTGTCAGTCTTTTTAAAGGCTCATAGCCACAATATTTATTTGCCAAAAGGTCAACAGCCAAGACTTTAGTGAAACCAGATATCAAATGATATTTCAAGTTTAATGTTCTTGCTGTAAGTGAAAATAAAAAAACAACAAAAACAAGTTTCTAAAGCTGCCCATACACCTGCTGGTTGGGACGGTCTAGATTTTTTTTTTGAGAACTAGATATTTGATTTGCAAGAGATCTGCCCATCTACAGTGATGACCAAATACGTCAGAGAAGAGCATCAAAGCAGGTGCTGCAAGTCCAATACAACAGTGGATGCAGAACATGAAAGATCACATATCATCCTGTTCAAATATCTGACCAAATAACCATCAGGCGGCAAAGCTGATGGCTCACACACATGCTAATTATTGTTGAAAAAGGTCTAACAAGCCCTTCAGCAGATAATCTTCATATGCAGGGGCATTTTTTTATTGGACCTAACCGATTCAAATTGGTAAAAAGGGAATGTCTCTCCATAGCCAGTAGCAAATACCAAGAGAACAGCTGTCATTTTCTAGTGCTAGCTAGAAAATAGACACCAAAGCTTATGATTTCATCAAATCTAACTTTGGTAATAGAGAGATCAATGTAAATCCTGCTGTGTATGTTGTGTTGCTGATCTGACTTTGTAATATAAAAAGTACCATAGCATTTAGGGAAGGAATGTTAATTGATGTTGGGGCCAAATTCATAAACTTCCAAAACACAAATCAAATATAACGTAATATGGTGGAAGGAGGAAGTCCTCTAACCTAGCTCAACTTTAAACGCTCGTTTCATATCGTAATGGTTCACAGAAGAAAAGCCAACAGTACAGCAAACATCAATACACAGAAACTGCCTCTGAAACAAAGAACTCTTCTGAGCTCCTTAAATTTCCTAAATGGATACCATTGGCAAACAGGTTACGACATAGGAAAGCAGTCCCTGATACTTAACTGCTAGACAAACTATCAAACTTTATTTAGCTTTCTGGCAATGTTGCAAGGGAGTCCCTTAACAAGGTAAAAACCTATATTACAACAAAACATTCGCATCGGATTCACGGATTAGACGTGTCCAATGTATTACAATAACGGAAGCTGGCTCATTTAACATGGAGATGCCAATATCAAAGAAAAAAGATCAACTGAAACCGCCTTTCTACAAAATGTGACTATAACTTAAAGTGATTCATCATGTTATAACTTTCGAATGCTACGATTAGACAAGACAAGCTTACTGTAGATGTACAACCTAACTATTAGATTAATTGGACCTACATGTGTTGCCAAAATCATGCAGATTACACGGCCAATACACCGAGACAGCTTAAAAGAAAGGGTCTTTGAGGAGCAGTGTTAGAAGGAACTGAAACATTTCCAATTATATTTAGAAAAGCCGATTTTGTATCTTGCTTATTAAAGGGATCTGATGAGGAGGTCATCTCAGCTGAATCCAAGTCATATTGAAAAGGACTGCTGAAACGTTGAAAAATTTACTGACAGGTCAGACAAGGAAAGCCAGGACTGTTTTGAAAGGTTCAGCCTGGTACTTGGTTGAGAAAGTTTACCTGTTTTTATGATGGTATCCTATAAGAATGGAAAAACTTAACAGTGGAGGTGCTGCCCAAAGCAACTACATTTCATCTGTACTTTTACTAGTTACAAAACAGGAGTCAACATTGACAAAACATCCACTCATAGCTTTCCCCATTCTTGTAGTACTACCTGGTATGTTTTAAAAGATGAGGTAAACTTCCCCACAGATTCAAGTAAAAAATACATCTTTTACTAGGACAAGGTTTTCTCTTTTTCTGAGATTCCCCTGTCTATATCTCCCATTACAAATCTGAGGACTCACCTTGATGTAATGGGTCCTGCTGATGTAGATGGAGGTGTGAATGTATGTGCGAGTGTTGGTGGTGGTGAGGTGTGACGTTGAACATCTGTAGCCGGGCTAAAGGATCATTAGTAAGTGATGCCATTCGCTCAGCATGTATTCGCTCGGCTGCCAGTCTCTCAGGATAAGTCATTTCTGGCCGTAGTTGTGGTCCTGCCAGGGCCAGTCTCTCTCTATCCAATGGGTTTAAGCCAGGATGGAAAGCAAAGTGATGTGGTCCTGCATTTGGGTTGAGGGTAAGCGCACCATGTCTAGCAAAATGTTCCATGGGGTTAGCACCAGGGTGGAGTTGGTCCATCTCAGGGGGTTTAACCTCAAAGCCAGGTTTCATCCTCTCCCGTAGCTCCCTCTCCCGGAGTTCACGTTCCCTCATTTCCCGTTCACGCAATTCCCGCTCACGCATTGTAGGGTCCATATTATACAGGCCTGGCATATGGTAAGCCAAGAGAGGGTCATTGGGATTAAGAGGGACAAAGAAAGGATGATTGCGATTGGTGGGTGACATAACGTGCGGTCGAGCATATTCGCTTAGTGTACGTAGAGCAGGTGTATCTGGCCCAATGTAAGGGGGAACAGCAGCTATGGTTGTAGGTGGAGGCTCAAAAGATGGTCGATGGTGAGCTGGGCCTCCGATCTGAGACTCTCCAAGACGACCTTCATGGGAACTGCAAGCCTTCTGCATGAAGAAAATGGGATGATTGTCACAGATGAGAAATAGTAAAACATGACGTTTTATAAATTAGAAAAACAATGCACTTTGTTCTCTTAATGAGTCCTGCCCCACTTCTTTGGCTGGGTGCAGAATCGGTGGGTAAAGAGTCAACTATGAGGTTCTATTGTAACGTTTAGTGTCTCTGTATTACTGGAAATAATATTCAGTAGATGAGATTCTACTTAGAAACTGTTTTAGGGGCCCAAAGAAGTTGCAAACCTAACAAAGGGGTCTCAAAATATGTACAGAGTCTCTTTCAGGAACAAACCTATTATAATATCACAACTTAAAAAAAATAATAATTGGTGGTTACTAGGGATGCACCGATACCAAGTACAGTACTCGGTACAAGTACAGATACTTTTCCAGCTCCAAGACTAGACTAGAGAAAAATACAAAAGTTAGGAGGCAGCTGTCATTTGTAAGGAGCACGCAGAGCTCCTGGGATTTGTTTTAATGTATGATTTTGTTTTTATAAAGAGATGCACCGATACGAGTTTTGCGAGTACAAGTACTGATACATTTTTGTTTATTGTCATGTGGTAGTTCTCATGAAAATGGCAAGTATTGGCACTGGTACTCGAAAGGATCGGCGCATCCCTAGTGGTTAGGACTACAGGCATTGTAGGACTTATTCCTCACATACCGATTATCTGAATTCTGAGTTAATAAAGATTTCAAAAAGGAAAAAGAAACGTACCGCTGCCCTTTCTGCTTCTCTTTCACGCTCTCGTTCCCTCTCTTTTTCTTTCTCCTTTTCTTTTTCTCGCTCTCTCTCTTCTCGGACCTTTTGTTCTGCTTCCCTCTTAGCCTTCTCAGCTGCTTCCTCCCTTTTCTTGGCCAACTTGGAGTCACTCCGTGGGATGAAATAGAGATCAGTCCTTGCACATGAGTTGTAACCACGATCCAGATGCTTATAAAACCTGTGTAAAATAATATTAATTATAGAAGTTTAAAGATAGATTAACGAACATAAGTAAAATAATGGGCAGTATACAAGGAAACAAAGCATTCCAATTTTGTGGTAGTGGGACCGTGATGTGAAGAGGGCTCCTAACGTAAAGGGGGAACTGATGTGAAAGAAGATTCTGATGTAAAAGCGGGGTTTCTAGGGGGATCTTGATTTAAAGGAGGCACTTCGATGTGAAGGACAAACCCCACATCAGATCACTGATTTGTCTAAACCCTCCTGTAGTCTTTAATAAGTACATTACTTTAACTGAACCACCACCTGTAGCGCAGTAAACATAATGCTTGGAAGGAGGAAGCTAGACCCTATTTCTTCTTCCACTGATGGTTTTGGTGTATAAGGTTCCCATGGCAGTAATATTAGGTTGCCATTCTTTCTTGCCCTACACTGTCAGTGAGAACCTTAGAACCTCATTGCCACCTTATACTTTTCAACACTGTAAAGTCTACCTTGCCAACATACTATCTTCTCTAAAACTAAGAGTAAACATTAAAGGGCTCCTTCTGTGATTTTTCAGGCTGACTACACTTTATTATCATGCACGTAGATATAGAAAGTTGTAAATAAATTATAGTTGTTCAATGGGGAAAGATATAATTAAAAAGACATAATTTTGCAGTACATCACTGCTGATCTGTAGAAACAAATTCCAATTAGTAACTGGGATGATAAACAAGACTTACAAACCATTTCCATAAAACAAACACTGTGCAGTAGTACCTGGCAGACTGACTGGCATGACTAGGAACATCAACCACAGTGGGTTCTGGTGACGGACTTCGAGGAGGAAGTGGAGGACTTTCAGGCTCCTCAATTTCATCTGGTACCTCCTCTTTGATTTGTATTGGTGGCAAAGGAGGTGGATTGGGCGATGGCGATACCACAGGAATGCAGACACTGGAAGCAGCAGCGGAAGTTGCAACAGGTAAAGGTGGCTGAAGACTTGGAGATGCTGATGGTAAGGAAGATGGGGTAGGAGCAGGAGCACAGGTAGGGGGAGTTATAGATGGTATAGATGGTGGACCTCCAGGCATGAATGAATGCTGTGAGAAGGAGGGTTGAGGAGGCAAGGGATGAAGACCTGACTGAGGGTGACCCGGTGTTTGGGGAAGACTTTGGCTTTGAGTCAGGACTGGTGGTTGTGCTGCTGTTGCCTGAAGTTGCTGGCTCTGAGGCATAAGCTGCAAAGGAGGTGGATGAGCAGAAGGAGGATGATGGGCAGGTAGTGAACTAAGTGGCTTAAGAGCAGGAGGTGGTGGTAAATTAGAGTTGAGGGAGAAGGGAGATGGCCCCTGTAAGTGGGGAGGATGCTTATGTGTCTGTGCTGGCGTTTGCTGAATAGGGGTGGTTGGAGGAGGTTTGATATGAGGCATGGTAATGGGTGCTTGGGGTAAAGGCTGCTCACGCAAAGGCTGAGGTGGTGTTTGCAGAGCAGGCTGAGGATTTGGTGGTCCCTGAGTATTATGGGGAAAGTTAAGAGATGGGGTTTGTGGCAATGGAGAGATCTGAGCAGGGCAGGGCTGAGGTGGAGAAGAACATGGATACTGTAGAATGGGTTGTGGTGGCATGTTGTGTGGCAAAGAAGCTAATGGTCCATGATGGGGTGACTGTGGATGTATTTGTGCAGGCATTGGAGGCTGTGGTTCTCCTTGTGACCCTGCAATAGGCTGTATTGCTGGGTGTGGAGAGGGAAGTCTTTGAGGGTGCAAAACTGGCGCCTGAACAAGTGAGAGAGATGGGGGCTGAGGAGGCTGGGAAGGAGGTATTGATGGAGAAGGTGATATCTGAGCAGGAGCAATGTTGTGTGGTGGAGTAACAATAGCTGGAAGTGGTCCTGGTGATACAGCAGGAGGGACCATTGCTGGAGTTCCACTTGGAGGTTGCAGCATTTGTTGCTGGGCTGAGGAGTCAGAGTCGCTCTCATTATCTTGGGGACTGGGAATGCTGGGAGATGTGCTGCGATTATCCTGGTCAATGTCCTTAGGATCACTGCTTCCTTCATCATTAACACTCCGGCTGTCTGAGCTTTCGCCTTCCCCTTCCCCTTCACCCTCCCCCTCCCCTTCTCCTTCTGATGGGGAATTTGGCCGACTGATCTCCTATAAGAAAACACAATATGTTAGTCTGGGAATTTTAAGTAACATTCTTCAAAGTAAGGCGGGGCTGTCTAATGTTAAAAAGAAACTTTTCAAGTTTAAAAACCTCCGAGGGCCTATAGACAAGTAATTGTGGTTTATATACCAACATTATTTTTAACGTATTTAACTAGACAATAAGTTAGTTGTTTGTCCTGGTTGTAGGTCAGCTCCCTGCTATCGTCTCCCAGCTTGTGAGAAGACGATCTCAATTACAACAGTCAATGTGAGTGATTACCGGAGAGAAACATCACAATTGCTTTCCTCCTGCCTGCAGCCAAGTAATAATGTGATTCTTCCAAGGTTCTTCTCTCAGGTTTAGGTAACTTAGGTCATTTGGCTGAAGCTCAGGGACTACTTCTTATATATATATATTTAATTATACTGTTGCCGCATATTATGCTTTGTCAGTAATTAATTAACGCAGACTTGTAAAGCTAATGATGGGTTACAGCTTTGACAAACTCTTTTGGGTTGATCTGCTAAATTCTGGATGAAAGTGATGTTCATCGGACCACTCTTCATAAACAGATAAACGATGACCATGTGCACTTAACATCTGAGGTCTCAGAACACTAATTAGAAAATGCCACTGCAATGCAGGAACACAAAACTACCTGGATGCTTCAGCCTGCTCATAATTCAAATATTCAGTGCTTTGTCTTGAAAGATGCTGACATACCACCATACCTGTGCAGTTCTAAAAGTATCTCAATAGGTTTCCAACTTGCATACTTTCCAGCCCTCAAGTGGATGCAAATCCATAATTTGCAAACATGGGAATGGTTGTCCCCATAGAAGTGTGCTAAGTGCAACTCACTTGTGTTTTGGATTTCTTTGCTGTGGTCCTGTCGGCCTCCTCTGTGTCCGACACTGGTTTTTCCCTCTGACGTTTGGCACTTTTCATCGGGGATGAGGGCTCCTCTTTTATCTTCTGCAGCCAAATAAGGAAACATGTTAAGCAATAAAGTGAAATGCAGCAGAGAAGCAATGTTATACATTGTAAATAAGCCCCCATATGGGACAGTAATCTAGAGGTTATTTCAGCCACAGTCATAGCACATCTTAGGCAAATTACACTGAATTAACAGCCCGCTCTGACTTGTTACTTGCCTTCGATGACTTCTTCAGGGACTCTGCTTTGCTGTCATTACTGGATGTGCTGGCAGCGCTTGGAGAGTTCCGGCCACTGGAACGGATGTCTTCATTTATGGGGGAGACTCTGCCGTCTGGACTGGCAGTCTGTTTCTTTCGTCCACTGCGTAGTGTAGACATCTATTTGGCAGGAGAAACAATCACATGACAGAGATTAATTGCAATCGTGAAGAGGAACGCTTTCTGTCCAGATACTGAAAGAATCGTTTGTTTCCAGCCCCCCACCTCAACTCACCAAGGCAAAAACAATACCCAAGCTGGAAAGGACTGAACAGATTTAAAATCTACCAGTTAAAGAACTGTACCTATATACTATCGCTAAATCCATGTTAAACACTATTGCTACTACCCCTGCCCCCAGTTGCTTACTTACTAGTGAAAATGTATTCAGCACTGGCCACCCTTGGGCATTGGGTTCCCACTAACTTAAACAGGGCTATATGCCAAGGATCTCAATTCTTAATATATGGCCCCATTCAAATCAATGAGGACCCAGTTTGCAGCGGTGGAAACAAAAGGTAAGTAAGCAAGCTGGGGAAGTGAGGACCAATGGGCAGTGTTTAAACTGCACCGAGAATGAAAAGTAGTAATAGGTGGCAGCAACCTGCAGCATTTATTACAGTTGAAAACTGCTAAAGTGTAACTGAGCCATTTCAGATTCTATTAGTGCCTAGAGCTTTTTATAATCACTTCTAAAATTACAATATACATTCAATAGAAGTGTCCACGCAATCAGCCTGAGTGACTATATAAAAAGTTAGCATACCGATCCTCTGCTCCTGCGAGTTCTCATGCTATGCTTCCCGTTCAGACCATCTTCTTCCTCCTTGACAGGTTTAAACATAAATGGTGGGGGGTCCACAGGCTTTTCAATAGGAGGTAACTCTCCGTACTTCTTAAAATGAATCCGGCAGTCAGTGCAAAGTAGAATGTTTTCCCGACCCCCGTGGTGCCAGTCCTTAGAAGCTGCAGTAAGAGCACATAAGCAGCGTCAGACAAGAACATAAGCAGCATCGTTCTGTGTATATGAAATAACCAGACTCTAGCTGGAAACGTATAAACAGATTACATACTGGTGGTGAAGCAGTGGCGACAAGCATAACCCTTCAATTCCTGCTCACTGTCCTCACTGTCAAAGTCATCTTCACTGGCTGAGCTCAGGTCCACTAGGAGAAAAAACACATACAGAATGAAAGAATATAAAATTGTCCACACTAAGAGCGATTGTCTACTACGATTCTAACCTCTTTATTATGTAAATGCATTACAGTACTGCGAAAGCACCAAAATATAAGAACAGAAGGTAAATTATAAAGCAAAGGGAAAACTGGAGCGACCCATGCAAAGGACCAAAATACAATGCTCACTGATCTGAGCTGGGTAAAGAAGAGTGTGCGTGCATTTGAAACCTCTCCACTGCTATGAAGGCACCTTCCCTTGCCTTCACTGGTTCACACATGCATGCTCTTCCTTGCTGTACGCAGAGCTCAGTGCCAATTGTCAGGTTATTGACACATTAAGGTGACGTGCTTAGCCTAGTAGAAGTACAGGCCTTAGGATGAGGTTAGTATTTGTAGGAGCTGTAGCAGGCATAAGAGTAAAAGAAAGGAGAGAGAAGGTAACAATAAGGAATCCCAGCCAGGATATTATCTGCATGGACTTATGTTCTCGGATGGGTTTCCTCGATGCCAGTGGTGGCGCACCTATGGCACGCCTAGGCCCCTCTGGTGGCACTAGAGCCTAGGCAGGGGCGTTGAATTCATATCGCCCGACGCCCAGGACATGCAGTTCTGGGCACTGGGCAGGTAGTTTTTTTCTGCATTTAGCCCTGCTTCGGGCAAGCAGAGCTAAATGTAGAGCAGGGAAGCTGCCGCTCGTTTTCTGCAAGTGATCTCGGCGATGATGCTTTCACCACTGGCTGCCTCCCTCCCTGCTGTGGTCTTCCGGGTCCCGGGACCACGGCAAAGTACTTCAGGATGGAGAGCAGGAAGTTTTCAGTCATCTTCACTGTGTCCACTGGGACAGAAACGCTGCACTCACAGCTTTCCCGTCTCAGCCGTCACAGGAGAGCCAGCACAGTGCTGTGCTAAAACTCCTGGATTGGAGGTGACAAAAGAGAACTTGTCACCTCCAAATGTTATCAAACAAAGGCTTGTTATCAATAGTGATAGCAATAAAGTTAAGTGAAAAAAATTATTATAAAAAAGTAAAAGATATAATAAAAATTTTAAAAACAAATAAAGCGATAAAGTAAAAAATAATAAAGAAAAAATAAATTGTTTGAATATGTGTGTTTCCCTATTTTGACTAAGGCAGTGATACTGAACATTTTTAAACTCCAGCACCCAAACTAAAACACAATACCAAACTTATTTCCAGTGTTGGCACTTTGAGATAAATAAATTGATTTTGCGTTGCAGTTTGGGCACTCAGGCTCAAAAACGTTAGAGGGCTGTGTAAACTATATAAAGGTCTGTAATAACAATAGAGAAGCTTAGAACTTGGGACATTTGAATAAGGTTGTAGAGTCACTGTACAGAAGCCAGGTGGCGCTGTGCTTATAGACAATGATACAATCGATGTACCTGCTGTTCAAGTATACCTGATTACTGGCTGGTTTAGAATTCCAAGCAGCAATGTATAATATATATATATAAAGCACAGTGGCGGCTCACTGAATGTGTGCTAATCAGGCTGACCCTGACACACAGTAAGCTCCCAGACAAGGTGAAAGGAAAACACAGCTGCTTATCACACCTGTATCTGTCATCTCTCCCCAGTCTCGGCTGTCAGTGCCTGGCAGGCAAGGAATGGTCTACTAATTGTTATTAAGCAGATTCCTTATGTAAAAATCATTCACCTGAAGTAATTGCCTAAACCCTGCACCAGTAATAAGAGCAATAGATTTAAATGAACACAATGACAGCTTAATGTAGCATAATTAACGTTTTAGGAGATAACTAGCATCCTCACACTCTACAAGGAATCAGTCAGCATGTACGGCTTTAGTACTTCATAACCAGGTGCACATCTGCCCTACTTCTTTCACTCTATGTAAGTCACAGCACAAACAGCAACAGCAATCAACAGCTCTGACTAGGTGGACTAACGGAGGTGGATTGGCGAGTGTTAGGCTTGCCATAGGCATTAAGTGGTTGGAGGATTTTTCTTGCAAAGCATCTTTCTATAAACGATTGTTTAGGTTGACTGCAAATGATCATACACTGAGCAGACATTCACGGAAAGCCAGTTAAAGAGTTTAATTCCTCACACCCCCAACCCCACAGAGAATGGTCAGCCTAGGGTTATCTTTTTTGCTGCCTGTTGATCCAAAGAAGGAGGTGGGGGGCACAGTGGCTGAAAGTTGTCTCTCCTCCCCGCTGGGAGCTGGCTGCAACAGTCAGTGCCCACTTCGATCCCCGCTGCCTCTGCTGATACAGGCAGGGAGAGCTGCGGGGATCAAAGGGGACACAGACTGCAGCGGGCTCCCAGAGGGGAGAACAGGAGGAGCAGAGCTGATTTGGGGGTGGAGGAGGACAGTGAACGGGTGAAAAAAGCACAGGTGCCAGGACGCAATTTCTAGTCGCCATGCCGACCTGGGATTTGTTGAGACCTGATTTACAGAAAATCTTGTATTCACATTAACTTACTTGTATGAGAGGAGAGCGGATACAAGCTCTCCATTATAAATCATCTCCTAAGAAAGAACAGTGCTTGCTGCCTATAGCAACCAGATCTGCCCTCATCTCTCAGATTGCACTGAAAACCTGGAAGGGAGATTCTGATCTGCTGATATTGGGAAAGCTGCTGCTCTTCCCTTCCACACTTTTGGCTTACTCAAGGAGGCAAAGAGGAATCTACAGAACTGATGTCAGTCAACTTATGTTTAACAATCAGAATGTAGTAAACCGAAATCTGATTGGCTAATGCCGTAATATAAAATCTGTGGGATGAGAAAGGCTGAACAGTTTTACAGCTGCAGGCACACTGCTTATGGTGCACGCTATACCATTTCTGAGATTATTTATACCTTATCAGTTCTAGTCACATTGCATTGTGTACACATTTCAGTCTTTCAATGTTATCTTCAGACACGAGTTAGAGGGAAAAGTGCACTCACAAAATTCACTTGATGGAGGCCGGGAGGGAGTGTTCACCGGGGTGGTGGCGGTGCGAGTTTTTATCCGCCGGAAGACCGCCTGCCTCCGATGCCTGCGGTGGGCACGGGAGCTCGCTGCTTCAGGAGTTTTCTTCCAGTAGTAGTAAAAGGTAATAAGTTCTCCCTGCAAACAAGCGCTTCAAGTTAATATAATTGTATGCTTAATGCAAAAGCCCTTTGTAAAAAAAAGACAGCCATAGGGGAGCATGATTTGTAACCCCACCTCCCCTCCCCCCAAATTAACCTTTCAAATACACAATTAACATCAAAATCACATTAGTGCGTTTAAAATCAAATTTAGCAGAATAATCAGATCACAACAGATGAGTTTCACACAATATATTCTCTGTGTATCACTATAAGTCCACAAGTACACAAGTCCCCCATACACACAAAAAGCAAGCATTGTGTCTCATCACTATGATGTAATTAGACATGACACAAACTTGCTCAAGGTGAAGTCTGGTTGATCAGCCGTTGGAAAAAAATGTGTTTGCTGCAAAATCGTGACAGGTGCTAAAAGTTGGTTAAAGTGTACATCAGGGATATATACACATACATAGTTACATGGGATTTGATGTTGAATAAAGACACACGTCCATCAAGTTCAACCTTTGTGTGTCTGTGTGTATACGAGTCCTTGTGTGGTCTTCGTTCTTAAGAGTACCTGTACCCCTGTATGTTACAGTCACTTTAGAAGGTATCTGATTTTTGAATGAATTAATATTCTCTGCTGATACTGCTGCTTGTGGAAGAGTTCCAAAATGTAACCTCTGACTGAGAAGAAGCCCCTACACCTTTTGTGGATAAATCTTTTCTTCACCAATTTTAGGTGGTGGTTTCTAGTCTTTGTTAGGGAGATTACAGTAAAAAGTTTATTGCCGATGTTGCTGTCACCATTGAACATTTTGTACATCAAAATCATGTCCCCTCTTAATCTCCTCACTTCCAGCGTGAACAAGTTTAAATTGAGCAACCTCGTCTCATAGCTTAGGTCCTCCAGCCCCTTAGTTTAGTTGCCCTCCTCTGGACTCTCTCCATCTCCAGGACATATATATATATATATACATACATACACACACACACACTGTGCAAAAGTTTTAGGCAGGTGTGGAAAAAATGCTGTAAAGTAAGAATGCTTTTAGAAATAAAATAAAAAAAAAGTGTAAATACAGTGTTTCCCCTAAAATAAGACCTAGTACTATTTTTGGGAATTGGTAAAATATAAGACCTACCACGAAAATAAGAACTAGTTGTGACCATTCCCAGGGCCCGTGGTGGCATAAGGGGGAATTTGAAGAACCGCGGGAGAGAATTGGCGGTACCAACGAAGCCGGCGCTAGAGGAAGCGAGGCGGCAGTGAAGGGAGCAGAGCCGCATAAGCCGATGCTTCTTCTATAGCGGCGGCTCCTGTCACAGGCGGAATGATACCAAATGCACTCCGCCTCTGAGGAATCTATAGTGAAAGCGCGCTTTGCTCATTCTGGCCAGCGATTGGTTACCAAATTGCTCTTGGAAAGGTACGGCATCAGGCCAGAATTCAGGATTTGAAAAGTTATGACATGACTGTATTGAATAAATGTACGGTATATTTTGGTATATGAACACATGTAGACTGTTGTACATGAATAAGTGTGGATTGTTGTATATTAAAAAAAAATAAGACCTACCCCGAAAATAAGACCTAGTGGGGGGAATTTATCATAGCAATTGCGAGTGTTTTAACTTGCACGCAATATATTTGCACCAGATTTATGAAGCTAGTGTAATGTTTTTGATAAATGAGATTTAATAGACTCCAAGAAAGACTTCTAACTTCAGGCAAAAAGCTTAACGGTCGCATCTTGAAGAACCTCCTCCATGCATCACTGTTGTCCGCAGACACTCATTGTACCGCTTTCCAGCCCTTCAGAGAACAAACTGCCTCCTGCTACAGCCAAATATTTCAAATGTTGACTCATCAGTCCAGGAGCACCTGCTGCCATTTTTCTTTGCCCCAGTTGCTATATTTTCGTGCATAGTTGAGTCGCTTAGCCTTGTTTCCATGTTGGGGGTATGCCTTTTCTGGCCGCAATTCTTCCATGAAGACCACTTCTGGCAAGACTTCTCTGGACAGTAGATGGGTGTACCCGGGTCCCACTGGTTTCCGGCAGTTCCGTGCTGATGGCACTGTTGGACACCTTCCGATGTCGAAGGGAAGCATGAGGTCTTTCATCCGCTGCATTAAGTCTCCTTGGCCGAACACTGCGTCTATGATCCTTAACATTGCCAGTTTCATTGTGCTTTTTCGAAAGAGCTTGAACAGCACATCTTGAAACCCGAGTCTGCTCAGAAAACTTTGTCTGGGAGAGACCTTGCTGATGCAGTACAACTACCTTGTGTCTTGTTGCTATGCTCAGTTTTGCCATGGTCCATGACCTGTGACATGAAACTGTCTTCCACAACCTCACCTTAGTAGCAGAGTTTGCCTGTTCCTTACCCAGTTTAAGCCTCCTACACAGCTGTCTCTGTTTAAGTTATTGACTGAGTTTAAACCTACATATGAAAATCGATGATTAGCACCTGCTCGGTATAATTGGATAATCATACACCTGACTCTAATCCTACAAAATCACTGACTGTGTGCAAGTGCAAGTTCACACCATTTTCTGGACCAGATCTGGAACGCACTGCGTTGCATTTTGCCGCGTTCAATGTGAGGTCTTGCTGGGGGACCTCTGCAAGACCTACAGATAGCCAGGAAAAGAGCAGCACAATGCTTGCACATAAGGGACATGAAATTACCACAGTTGTTCTTTTCCGAGCTGCTCAAATCATCATACCCAGGGACAACGTGGGCAGCAAAGCCTCTCCACTTGTCCATCTTCCTATGATTGTTCTTATATTGCCCATGCCTCGGATCATACAGCTTTGGGCAGACTTCCACAAGTTCTACAAAGAATTCAGTGTCCACTTCAGCCATCATGGTTCCTATCTTCACAAATCTCTCTCTACAGAGAAGCAGGAAGTTCAGGGTGATGAGATTATCCAAACCAGCCAAAAAGAAAAAAAGTTTTTTTTCTCCCATTGCATTCCGATGCGGTTTTGACGCATTTGTGCGCATTCCAGACCAGACAAAATGTGACCAGCAGTATTTTTCTGGTCTGCTCTGGAACTGACTGCGATGGTGTGAACTGAGGCCAATAAGATCATAGGGAAACATTGGGATGCATTTTAGGTCCAGAAACAATCTGGTCTGGAGGTGGTGTGAATGGGCCCTCAGAATGGATACTGGTTTGAAGTCAAAGGGTTCACACCAAATATTGATTTGATTTAGATTTTTCTTCTGTTTACTCACTTTGCATTTTGTACATTGATTCAAATATACAATAAAAATATATAGTTTTTAAAGCATTCTTACTTTACAGCATCACACACACGGTGGCCAACATCTTGGTGGCTTTGCATGTAATTGGTTTTATAGCAAGGAGATTAACTGCAGTTTCCAGAAAGCCACTAGTGGGAGAATCTAGAGCTCATTAGGAAAAAGCCCAATAAAAACCTGAAACAAGTACACACAAAAGGTCCCCCTAAAAAATATTCAGAGCAAGCAAATAAACTCACATTCTCCATCAGAACACTCTCTACCAAAAGTAGCAGTATGTAAAATACTAAATTGTGATATATATGTATCTATATATGTAGATATATATATATCACAAGGTACATAAAACGCACAATACAATAATCAGAACCTGCTTCATCGCTTCTACCTCTGCACAAGCATTCTACACACAGAAACCACATGTAAACCTCTCCTTCAGTGATGCCGGAGACAGACGCAATCAAGCCTAAACACGCCGATCATAAACCCAAACATCTTTAGTAAATATTTTTAAAAGAAACCTGCTAGCCTACAAAACTGAAAACAATGAAGGAGTATTTGAATACAACCTGTGTGCGACTTGTGTTCCGTTCCCTTTATCATTTGGTGACCAGTGGGAAATACCTGCCGCTCGCTTGCTCGGTGTACAGGGAGGTGCCAGTTTCAGGCTGAATAGCAGACTGCTTATCACAAATATCACACCTACAGAGCATAGTTCAAACTTCCCTGTGTTGTACCAGGCTTCACTGCATGAAAGTAAACACAGGAAGGAAGCTGGCTACCAGGTTTCATGTTTCCTTAAAGAACCAGGAGCACAAGAAAAGACAACACAACTGGACATCTCCAAGATATCACAATTCTGTACAGAAACTGTTTCAGCATAGACAAGTGAGAGGAAGAGCTCAATGTTGGGTGTAATCTTTGCCGTCACCTGGTTATAGTATCACATTATAAAGGCTGAGCGTGGAGCCGCATTGTAAGAGTTAAATCTTCTCCTATTGTCAGTCTTAATGAATGCTACATTGATGAATACACCTATTACACAATATTCTGTATGCCTTCGCGAAGCTAAAATGTAAATGTGTTCCAAGTTAGGAACTAAACTGCAATTATTAAACGTTAAAAGTAGAACAACCAGACCGATCTGTAACATAAAAACATGCAAAGGCAAGACACTAAAGAATACTTTGATATCATTGGCTTACACATACTGAGGTGTCGGAAAGTGAAAGAAGAATATAAAATGTTGTAATCAGTGGCCGCAGTCAGAAGACATGTTTATGGGTCTCATTGCTTTAACATAGAGACTGAGACCTCATTGCTTTAACATAGAGACACCAGAGGCTGCAAGTTTAGGGACCACTGCATTAGTCCCCTTCCTGTGGAATGACAGGGCAGCTCACGATAGAGCACACAAAGGACTCTCCTGCTTTCCTCTGTAGCTCAGACATGCTTAAATATATTGATTTCATTAGGCAGAACTCTAAACATAACAGTGTTACAATGTTTACACATGTATTAACCAGTTATTGTTAAACTGGCCAAAGAAATTAGGGAACAGGCACACATACATACATGATCCACCGGACTGACAACATATATTTTGGCCATTTTCTCTCACGATACAGAAGCAATTCTACAAGATCGCCAAGATGGCTCCTGTTTGGGGCTGTGAGCACTGCCCTATAGACGCAGGATCATTGCCAGACCAGTTCTAACGGAGCCATTATTATTATACTCTCATTATAGATAATAGGCTA